GTGAAGTACAATATTTTACAGGCAAGAAGCCCTGGCTGGTTTATAAATGCTAGTAGACGTATATAATTCTCCAAGAAATAGGCTAGAAAACTATTTCAACAAGCATGAAAAAAACTCCTGTTTGTTTCATTCCTACCAGCCATAAAGAGTCTCAACATTCTAAGGTAAAAACTCAAGCTGGAATGCGTAGACTTGCCGGTGCGATCATGCATTTTTGCACCAGATTTGAAGTACTCAGTTCGTTAATTGCATAAATGGTTATTGCTTTACACCAATCTTTTACTTTCATTGGTGTAAATCACTATAAATGTTGCGTAAAGCAAATGAACAGTTTTCTTTTAGCAGTCGTTCTTTAAAAGTGACCTTATTGTATTGTGAACAGTTTTTCCACCAAAACTTTTAAGTGCCCATAAATGAAGAGCGAAGCTTACCACGAGAACAAATTTAAATTTTAATTTGTGCTTTGACAGGGGGCACCCTTAAAATTTCAGCATGCAAAAACGCATAAAAACGGGAACAGGATAGGGAAGGAAGGAGGGAAGTGAGAATTGCATTGCTGGAGTGGACATACCCAGATTAGAACGTACCAAATTTGCCTGTGTGACCATATTTTTTGTTCCAGACTTTTTGTACTACATGAACGGTTGTTGCTCTACACTTACCTTTAACTGGTTATTGCTCTACGCCTACCTTTTGTGCTCACTAGCGTAAATCACCGTAAATTTTACACAAAGTAAATGAACAATTTCAGTTTAACGGTCGTTCTTTGAAAGTAACCTAGCTGTTCAGTCAGAAATTTTTCCGCCAAAGCTTTTAATTACCCGTAGGCAACAACCTCGCATACCTCAAAGCTGAATATGAAATATATGAGTTGTGTTTGGACAAGAAACATTCCCATAAAATTTCAGCTTTCTAGTTTTTCTGGTTCCCGACTTAATAATTTTACTGCCAAAACTTCCACACGCCCATACTTGAATACTACGCGTGCCTGGAGGCAAAATTTGAAATCTTTAGCTCACACATGCCAGGGGACATCCCAGCGAAGTTTCCTAGTTTGGTTCCAGAGGTGGCCTTCCTTCCAAAAAACTTGCATATTTTTTTAAGACGTCCTTACTCGGCACCCAGGCATAGGCGGACGATGATATTAAAACGGCAAGGTCGCACGTAGTGTGGGCACATACTCCCAAACTTTTAGCCTTCTAGTTTTTCTGGTTCCAGTTTTCAACTAGTGACAAAATGTGCGATCACACAGATATACACATATACACAGACAGCCCTTTCCCAATATGCGTTTTTGCAATTTACATATATGCAAAAACGCATAAAAATGAAAAATGCAGTTTTTATGCGTTTTTGCATACATGTAAATTACACAAAAGCATATTGGGGAAGGGCTGTCTACGTGTGTTTGTGTGTGTGTGTGTCTGTATGTCTGTGTGTTCGCATTTTTTGTCACCCACTTTCAACTCGAGAACCGGAAAAGCTAGAAAGCTGAAACTTTGGGGATATGTGCCTATACCAAGCTCGACCCTCCCGTTTTAATTTCATCTCCCGTGGATGACTGGGTGCCGTAACGGACGCTTTAAAAAAAATATGCAAATTTTTTGGCGGGGAAGCGATTTCGGGAACCACAACAGCTAAGGGGCCGAAACTTTGTAGGGATATTCCGTGTGCATGTACTAGCTGAAGATTTCAAATTCAGCTTCCAGATATGCGTGGTACGCATGCAAGGGCGTTTGAAAGTTTTAGGGAGAAAATTGCTAACTCGGGTACTAGGAAAGCCAGAAAGCTGAAATTTTGCAGGAATGTTCCCTATCAAGTACAACTCAAATATTTCAAATTCAGCCCCCAGTTATGCGTGGCACTCACGTAAGGGTGCATGA